ACCCCCCCCCCCCCTATCAGTTCAGGCTGAAATCAGATGAGAACAGGTTTGAGTAAATCGCAGAACGTGATTAACTTGTTGTTCTTTAGTAGACCGCCAATCTATGTACCTTTTTCTAGCGATACCATAAACCTTTCCCTCCGGACTGGATGACAATTGTGGGATTCAAACAAGGTAATTTTGCCCTTTTATTCGAACACCCGCCTGATCAAAGACTTGTTCCGAGTGGTATTGTCACTCTGAATAAATAAACTCATCAATAATTTACTTTGACAAATAGAATACGTGTAACCCACGCGGGTGTGTCATGAATACATCCACAAATCCCTATTGGGACTACGTACATCAGTGATGCGAGGCGAAGTGAATAGGACAAGGACCCCCTACTGGTCGCATCTTCACACACCGGGTTAAACTGAAACGAAGGCGACTCAAAGACTCACTCATTGACGGAGGATGATCAAGGATGGAGGAACCGATGGACTGAAAGGCTGCTTCATGTGTTCAGCGACTTATTCGCTTGTGTTATCACTCCCCTACCGCACGCATGCTCATACACACACACACACACACACACACACGTATTGGCGCATTCGCAAACTTATCCAAGTTTCTTCCTCGGACGCGTCCCTTGCCGAGCTACCTTCGTTTTATTTTAAGTTTTTCCTAGTGCGCCCACACCCGCCCCAGCCTCTCACTTCTTTGTCCAGGGAACCATAAATTATCTAGTGGGAAAGTATATGGGTCTTATTCACTCAAGACACGCATCGATAAACCGAGGGGACGAGGTGCATGAGCTGTCCAAGCAAAACACCGAACTACGACAATGGAATTGGATGAGAAAGTAACAAAAGACGGGAGGTACCCGGTGTGCGTCGTAAAACAAAAAATTGAGACTAAATTTGGGTGACGAATGAACTTGAAACAGCATTAGTAAAATGATGTAAATATTGTAGGTGCCCTACTGACAAACTCGACTCCGCCTGCTCAGGCACAGTGATAGGTTCATATTGAGAATTACGCACTAGATTCGGTTTCTGGTATTCATCTTTCAATAACGAGAAGACTGGGTACAACACTGTGCTATTTATGTGGAACCAGTTAAGCTTAAATAGTGGAAACATGTTATCGGGTGAAATTTGGTCGTTCCTATCTTCTGCGCATGTTTATTTCAGGTCACGCTCGAGTATTTGTTAATTAAATAGAGGAAATGGAGGAGAGAGGCAGCGCATCCAATAAGTACTAATGGAGCTAAACATCATCCTAGTCAAAAAATCCGCAAGGTTTTAGATGAGTTAACCTTTTGCGTATCCGTGTGACATCAGCTTAACAGGATAGTCAACCTTATTGGAAAGATTACACGATAAAGTGAAGGGTCTTAGGTCGTCAAGCTATGGTTTCGGGCTTTAATATCTAGGTTAGAATTCCGGACAATCAATTTGGGGCCACCAATTAACCTAAGTGGGTTCCAATGACCTACGTAGAATGAAGTTTCCAAGTTGTATGCAGGAACAGGAGAAATGTCTTCGGTTTGAAAAAACAACATACAGACAAACTCTTAGGTTTTTGGGTTACATTTCACAAATGATTAAAATGATTGAGCAAACATTTAACTAAGTTAACTTTAACGATGAGTGACGGAAATAACCTCATCAACATCGTGCAATCGACATGAAATGTGGTTAGGCATTTTCAAATACCCAGATTTAATGTGGCAGAATAGTTGAATGTAATCCTAAAGACATACTAAGGCATTTGAGTTAGTCATAAGGTGTTCCAACAATGATTGAGTATGATCCTGGCAGGAAACTACATTTTCTAAACAGACTGGCGTATTTCAGTAAGCCACACATTAGTGTAATTGCGCAATCACAAGTATCATGTCAACCAAGGACAACTTAAGGAGAAAAATAAACAAATATCAAAAGGGATGTTTTGCAAAAATTTAGTTTTTTATTACACAACGATGTGTGACGGACAGCAGACGGGATGGAACCCCATAGTCACGAAGAACTGCTGTTCAATGATGGTAACCGACAACCTAAGTCCTGGGACTTCGCGTGGCGAACCACATGACGCCCTGCCAGGTTAGGCGTGGTATTGAACCTGACGACAGCAAAGCAGTCTACCACCAAAATTGGGTGGCGGTGGCGGGGCTCGAGCTTCGTACCACAGGGTCTGAAGTACGCTGGTGACAGCGACTTAACTTAGCCACCACCACTTAAGTGCTGAGTTTCGAACTTTGTCATATTCTGAAGTGGTGAACAAAATGATTGCAATTTCCTTCGATAAAACCCATTTAAATCTTGTTACTGACAGTTTTGGACAATATCCCACATGCACGCACAGATTAGCAAAACTTGTTGTTGATTTTTTTAAAATATGACTTTTGGAAGTTTGCCGTCGGAGCTCACGTGAAATTATTGTTCCATGGAACTATCAGTATTTTTTATCAGTTTAGTTATGAATTGCCTAATCCCGGGTTTACTCATAATGGTCACAAATTTGCTAGATAAATCTATTTGCATTGGTGTTTTTAGTATTCACTCGACTTAAAAGCGTTCTAGAAATTACCACATCATCGTCATCCATTAAATAGCTGTACGGCTAGGTTTATCATGCACTACCAGCTGGTAGCCTTTATCAACTGAAACACTAGGCTTTAGGTCACGGTTACCTAACTGAGCCGTTGCTGCCTACTTCTTTTCTACCCACTAGGGTACAATTTTTAATCGGATTTAGTCAACAGATTAACAAATGCATTTTTGGTTTCTCATTGAATGCCATAGAAATTGGCCTGTTTGACTTAGAATAACTGGCCAAAGTGAGGAGAAGGATTCTCTAGGCGTGATTTGTATTTATCGAAGCCGTCAGAGTAGATGTAATCAGCGCAACAACTTCTAATCAGCTAATAACTTGTCCTGTTGAAATAATTCACACTTTAATTGAGCCGTAGTATGGTCGATGGAAGGTAATCATCACCACGTGACTTTGATTTGTTATTGTTGGTCTTTTTCTTCTTCAGTCACGTGTGAAAGAACTGGAAGAAATGTTGGACGAAGAACGTGCTGTTCGCATTCGGGTAAGTTAGTCTCATGAACAAATATCACTTCACATGACTGTATTAAACTCGTCACATAATTAACCCTTTTTGGAAAAACTAAACCCAACAGAAGTGTGCCCCCCCCTCATATAAATCTATAGATTAGAGTGTTGCATCAGCAACATTACAAATCAAGTCACATTTTAGCACAAATATTTTCACATATGCTCACTTGGGTTTAAGTCTGGTGAATGTGATCGTCACATCAACATTCGTGTGGCAACAGATCCCATCTGCCACGTTTGGCCTCCAGTGGTTTGGCCAAGTAACCTGCACTCAGTCGGTCTGCAATTATCGATCAACTGTGTTCAAACAGGATGAGGTGTCAGAAGTTCATCACCTTCATAAATAAATTATTGAAAGATTTCGCGTGAAGAATCGGGAAAGTAGTGGCAAACAAACGGGAAATATCAGATGTACGGGGCAGGGGAATGTTCCTCCACTTGTTCCGATTGTATTGCAACATGCACTTTTAGGTGTTGCTCTTTCCTTTTATTTCGGCTACCAACCAAATATGTGGAATTGGATGAACGTGAACAGTTCGGAAGGCGATTTCCATTGGTCCCACCTGTACTCCAACTAATAAAACATGCGACCGGTCTCCAATTGTTCGCATTTTTTTGATTGGCATGTGTATGGTCGCTTCTGTGCAATGCAGGACGATCATGGGAGCTTAACTACGAATATACTGTGTTTGTGACTGAACCAATGGTAGAACAATATGGGACTATATTTGCCCAGACAAATGAAGTGCGGTATTACGGTGCGGTAGTTTGAATAAAGAAGCCAAAAACACGGGTTTGCATAATGCATCCTGGATCATTTCGCTGCATCTGTACACTTGCATACTGTAGTCTATATGATCATTAATATATGGTCAGTAAATAACCGAACCATAGGTGGAGAGAGATTGCGGTCAAAATTACTCACCAAATACATTTATTACCAAGGTAGGGCCAGAGTGATAAGCCATTCACGTTTTTACACAGTTTGGGATGGTAATTTTGAATGGCTAGTGCCCCGGCGTATTTCAGAACCTTGTTGTTTGTGTTGTAGAGGATTCTGAACGCGTCGGGCAGCATGACACTGTTTCATTTCGATCAGCTATTGTGCGATCGACGAACTGAGTTTCTCACGGGTCATTGGTGGCTTCATACTTCTGAAGTTTCNGTTTCCACTCATTGTTTTCTGAATCCAGACCGGGATGGGCCCGGTTACTCGGTAACTCAGTTGTCTCTCCGTTCAACCGACGTGGATGGCCCAGCATCCACACTGGAAGTGATAGATACAATTAGATTTGGCGTGGGGAGACAGCGGTCCTTTGACGGATGATATTGTAACCGGGCGGTTGTTTTTAGCTTCATGAGCACATGTTGAAAGTGTAAGTCAAGTCATGTGATCAGACTAATTCACATTATTTATGCACACACCCCCACTTCGTACCTGTGCGTTGCGTGCAAGCGACTCACCACACAGGCTCCATTGCCGAATCACGGAGTCACCGATTCCATCGGAAAACATATTTAACCGGCCTACCCAGGCAGAAGGGGGCAGTAAAGAATCTGAACGCTGGTCCGCTTATATTCTACCCGTCCGGTTCGCGGATCCATTCTCAGTAGGATAATGCAGCCTCGACTATATTCTGTTTAGCTCTTTTATTCCTGTTGTTTACCCGACGAATTTCATTCTGAATTCAAAACGGATTCAAGCATGACCCTAACCGGGGTCAATTGTTTCCATAATGTTTAATCAAATCTTTCTTGGTCAATATGGGAGCATATACTAAAAACTCAATGAACAACACCTCAGCCATTTTCTTCACCATTGACTATGTCCATTAATCGTCCCATTGGACCGACAACAAACATTTTGAATAAAACAGAAGGTAGCGAACATTACTTGTTTCCAGTGATTCTTTGTATTTGGCTAATATATCACAACTTATATAGCTCGGATAAAATACAGGATGGGGATAGTACTGACAAAAAATGATATTAATAATAAATTTTTAAACTTAAAAGAATATAGGCAATGACTACGGTTTACGGTGTTGTGTTTAGTCTGAATTTGCCAAAATTTGGGAGGAGGGGGCAAATGGGGTGGGTGGAGAGCCACGAGAGACTCAATGTCTTCACAAGTTGTTTTTGCGCACACAAGGGCAGATTGTGAACGCGAATTCCGCTCTGGCCAGGATGCGATATTTAGTCCGCTTTGGTTGTTATTCACAAACCTGGTAGAGGGGACGGAACACCCAGGTCAAGTCAACTAAATAACCTGACTCTACTAGGTGTGAACAGATTGCGCTCGTAATTGACTTTCCCACCGCAGTGTGTAACTAAGCAGAATGATGCTCACGAACTCTTTGAGTCGAGCGGTCTGCTCGTGCGACCGCTGTACGTTGTTCCACTGGAACAAGTGAAATAGTAAATGCGGCATCAGATCGCAGAAATATAAACTTTACCTGCAACCTGAGGGCCGGCCGGATGCGAATGAGGCACACAATTTAGCTGCATAGAACATTTGACTGATTGCAGTTGTCAACGTTTGAGTAACTATTTCCGTCACCGTGTCACTTGTAAATGGCATTCTTATGTAAACCGATCTATTTTCTACTCTCTTCGTTTGTCTGGCGTTTTATTATGTTGCTGACAAATCAATCCATGTATCCATTTTGTTAGGTGACCTGGCACAGGAATTCTACGTCTTTCTTAACTGTATCAGCCGAACAGGTATTTTGTGCTATGTTACCGAGACACTGGATCGAGTTTCGCTTTAGTTTGAGAGGTACGAAACTTTGAAAATGAATGTGCTGACCCCATCACATGTTTTATCCATACGACGAGCGTTGGATAGACCCCTCTTCACTGCGGTTGAGGTAAACATCAAGAAAATCTATCTGGTTATCAGTTTCCTCATCTAGAGTAAACTAAGTATTTGGATTCCCGCAGTTGAACGCTGCCAGTAGCTCATCAGGATTACTATCCTCGTCCATGAAACACAATATGTCGTCCAAATGTGTTTTGTATAGCTTGCAGTTTTCGATGGAAGCAATGAGGGCGTTGATTTTTTAGCATTGCCATGAAGATGTCTGCAAACAACGGGTATCGTAGGAAGCCCATTGCAACATTGTCCTTCTGACGTCGTTGACGTCGCTGAACTTGAATTATGCGTTATATGTGCAACAATAAAGTAACTGTTTTAAGTCCTGAGTCGGGATACCGATATTGATATCATTCGTTTGGTTGTAGTCCGCTGAGCAACCAATCGTTTCTTTGATATGGACATTGGTGAATAGCGAAGTCTCTCCTGGTCCTCCATCCACCCAATTTCACCCCCGCCCCGTCCAATATTGGGCGAATCCAGACTAAACACAACACCGGAAATCGTAGACATTACCTTTATTCTTTCAAGTTTATTCTTATATTCTTATCATGTTTTGTAAGCATTATCTCCTCCGTCTTATATTTTATCCAAGCTATATAAGTTATGATGTATTAGCCAAAGAAGATGAATCACTGAAAACAAGTATTGTTCACTACCTCCTGTTCTATCCAAAACGTCTGTCTATTGAATCACTTATCTAATAAAAATACAACACACCTGCGGCTAGAGATAAATCACTGCAACAATATACTAACCGACCGATCCATTGCAGATGTCCAAACCTCAAATAGAAATAACTTTAATCAAACCAATCAATAGACCCCACATATGTTCTTTGAGCCAGCAGGGAACAAACAGACAAAGGTGGCTACTTTTTATGTGTGGTTCAGGCCTATGGGCAGAACACACAGAATTCAGTCCAACCAGCACATGGAATAATATCATATCGGTTTCGTTCTGGTCCCGTTGAGTGAATCGATGAAAGGTTCACCCCCGGGGCTGGCCCATGTGGTTCATCGCTCAAAATCGGGGTTCACGTTCGATGTCCTCTAACTAATGAACCTGTTACCTTCTGACTGATTCTCTTTGTTATAAGAAATCCCGATAAATGGACACAGTTAGATAAAATAACACGAACGATAATTCATTTATTTACGATCCGTAGTTTGTGTTGTTTTGGCATACGCAGTGCTTACACCGTGAAAGGATCAGTGGCCCCTAAGGACCTCCAACCCGCAGGTGAACTCCGGATCTCTTCCAGTGGTGTTTGGTCTCCCGGCTGAGCTACGATACCCACCACTAGAACTGCACACGGAATCTCAAAGTCACAGTCAAAGTTTTATTATGGGCGTTTTAACAAAGCTAAAGCTTATCATG